GACATGCCAGAGCCCTGCCCCTGCCCAGTCTGTTGCCCCTCACTGCCAAGCCACTGACCCCTGCCCTGCCAGTGCCCCTCACTCACCCAGCTGTAGTACTCTGGCCATGCTGGTGCCCCTCACTCCAGACCCCACCCCCTGCGCCTCCAATGACCCACAGTCCCCGCCTCCACACTGCCAAGCCGCAGGCCCTCCCCTGCTGGCAGTGGCTCCAATTCACGCAGGTGGCAGCAGAGTGTGTCCAGCCCCAGCTCGGGCTGGAGGGAAAAGGAGGGGATGTTTGTGGCACTTCTTGGTTTGGGATGAGGCTGCTGCACCAAACCAGGCAGCCTGGTCATGGCTCCCTCCCTCTCCCTCCCTCCTCCAGTGTCCCCTGGCCGCTCAGCCCCTGCGAGCACAAGCACCATCCCCTGTGCTGCCTGCCTGCCCACAGAGTTCCCTGCTGACCTCAAAGCCCCCCACCCACCCCTTCTCCCTACTGGAGAACAGGCAACCCCACCCCCATGCCCAGTCACAGCTGAACCCCCTGCTCTGACCAAATGTCTGGGTTTTTCCTTTGCTTTAGGGGTGGGAGCAGGGGGAGGGTGGTCAGAGGCAGCAGGGAGCACTGGGTGGGTCTGTCTGTGCCTCTACAGCTGCAGGCAGGTAAGTCTGTGCTTCCTGCTGCCTCTGATCGCCCTCCACCTGCTTCCACTAGTGAAGCAAAGGAAAATCCCGGACATTTGGTCAGATTTAAAAAAACCCACCCAGATGGTGATCAGAGGGCTTATAAAGAGGACATGTCCGGGAAAACCCAGACATATGGTAACGCTATTCAGTGGCACATATGCACTTGGCCAAAAGTGTTATGGGCACACACATACTAAGCCCTTTGTTATATTGGAATGTTAAAAATGAGCTATAATATGGCTTTGTACAGTCAGAAGACAGCATAGGTCCCTGCATATGGTAGCTACCTAAGTACATAGTTGCTGTATGCAGATGCAATCAAAGACATGCAGGTGATCACATAGCCTGCAGCCCAAGAGCCAGACCCAAGCAGCAGTTTCTTTTTCTCTATTAAGAGGTGCAAACAGAGAAAAATACTGCAGCAAATACAGTTAGGCTCCTTCCAAGTCAACAACTTAAGAGTGTAGCCTTCCCTCTCTATGGAGACACTGCTTCCAGGACACCAAGGAACATATGGCTTGTCTGCTTGCTAGCAGTGTTTTTCCTAGTCTGCTGGCCTCCTGCTGGTAATGGGCCCTGTTTTGCTGTTACTAAGAATCATGCATTGTTTTCACTTTTTCAAAATACCATGTTTTTGGTTTCTGAAAATAGGCAACATATATTTTTTAAACACTCCAGTATCTTGCATCAGTGGCTCCAGCCCAATAGTAATAATAATGCAAAGATCACGTTCTGATCAGTGATCATTACTTCAGGTCCTGTTTAATAAGGGATATGATACCACTGGTGATGAGACTTTCATGGGGAAAAAGCTGCAGTGTGAGGATAGGTTAAATTCCCTGAGGCTGCAGCAAAGAGACCCTTCTTGAGTGTGGTTACTTGGAGAAGTCCATGTTAAAAATAAAAATCCGCAAACTAAAGGAAGTATTGGATCCCTCGCACTTCCTTAAAGGGAGTGCATGGAAGTTATCTGTCTATCTAGGCACCTGTCTGTGGTATTCCATCCTCACTCCACTGTAAGAGATTATATAGCTCAGGAACTTCACCAAAGTCTGATCAAACTCACATTTCTCCAGTTTTGCATAACGATTATTCTGACAGAAATGTTCAAGTACAGGACAGAAATGTTGACAACATAGCTCCCATTCTTCAAGAAAGCAAGTATCCTCCAGGTACAATGCTACATGTAGACCTAATACATCCCTACAGCTACTTATTTTGAAATGTAGCAGGTGTGCTGAAAGGCAGAACATAAATTTAAAGTTAACAGGATACACGAAGTGGCCACGACAGTTTTCCATTCATCATGTTTGTGGGCACAAATCATATACTGGTAGTATACCCTCTAAATGTCCAAACAAGTATAAATCCAGGCCAGCCAGAGTCTGAAATAACTCCATAATATAAGGCAGTGGGAATTGACTCAGGATGATGAGCCTATTTGGAGCCCAATAGTCTACATAAAGCATCCACACAGAGCTATCCTCCTTCTAAGAAAAAGAAGTGGGGCATATCCACTATGAATATCCTAAGGAAGGCTATTTGCAAGCATGTGGAGGAGGAAAGACTAATTACAAGCAGCCAGTGTAATTTATGTGGATTTATGAAAAACATATCATGTCAAACAAACCTGATCTCCTCCTTTGACAAAGTAGCTACTTGGGTAAATGAAAGGAATGCTGTGGACATACTATATTCAGTAAAGCTTTTGAGAAGGTCCCACACAACCTTCTCAAATGGGTTAGATAAAACTATTTTAAGGTGGATAGATAACTGGCTCAATAGCTGCAAACAACAGGTAATTATTAACAATTTGGATGCTGGGATAGAAAGCTTCTTGAGCAAGTCTGCAGATGACACAAAACTGGGGAGGACTGCAAACATGTTGGAGGATGTGAGCACAATTCAGAAGGATCTTGACAGATTGGAAAGTTAACAGGATGAAATTCAATGTAGACAAATACAGGGAAGGGAGGAATAATTAAACCAGATATAAAATGGGGATCACCTTGTTGGATGGCAGCTCTGTGAAAAAGGACTTGTGAGTCTTGGTAGATCAGTCCCAATATGAGCAGTGTGATGCAGCCACATGAACAGCGAATGCAGTTTTGGGCTGCATCGATATAAGCTTTAGAGGTGTGAGACACAGGAGGTGATCATGCCTCTCTAATCAGCATGGGTTAGGCCTCATCTGAAGTAGTGTGTGCAATTCTGTGCTCCACATTTTAAAAAAGGACATAGAGAAGTTAGTGATGGGCCAGAAGCAGGCAACTAAAGTGACCAAGGCAAGTCATATGAAAAGAGGCTGAAGGAGCTAGGCATGTTTAGTTTGTGGAAAAGGCGCTTAAGAGGGGATATGATAGCAGTCTTCAAATGTTTGTCTTTATTAGGATGCACTGGCAGGGAAGGCTGTGTGTGAGGAGGAGTCTCTCCTGTTAGAGAAAGGAGGGCCCTTGGGCCAAGCAAGGGTAGGAAAGGGTACAGAAACTCTTAACCCAGCATTGAGGTTGGGGGGAGTCAAAGAAAAGGGACCAAGAACTGCGTACCTGGGCCCAACAGCTTGGACTGTGGGGCAATCACGGCTGAGGCAGATGCCACAGGGGGCTGAAATGCCAAATATTGAACTTATAGCTATGATCACGAGACGGGAGATACAGCAGATCAGTTACAGTGGGAGGCTGAAGTGGAGAGGTGCCAACATAAATAGGCAGCAGAAGCAGCTTCTTTGAAGCAACACTTTTAGCAGGGGGGAAAGGAAGGGTGAATAAAGGAGTTAGGTGCCTGATTGCAGCTGAGGCTGAAAAGAATAAGGAAATGGAGTGCCTTGCTAGGACAGATTCTGAAAAAGCCAAGAAGCAGGAGAAGCCATGGATGCTCCAGAAAGAGGTCACTGTCATGGCCTCCTGAATAGCCGCGGGGGAAGTAGCCAAGACAGCTGAGGCACCAAGCCATGCATATCTCATGAAAGAGCAGCAAATAAAAAGAGGACCTCCAGAAGGATCTGGGGATCTGGCAGAATAAGTGCTTCCAGCTGCGAGATCTCATGCAAACATGGGTGACTGGTGCTACCTTACTCAGGGGGGCATGTGCCCCCCCAGCGACCAGTCAGTGACTGGGGGGTCCCCCATGGCCAATCTCACCAACTGGGGGGGGAGGGGTACCCCTGTGGCCAATCTTACTCACCGGCCAGCACTCGCAGGAGGGGTACCAGAGCTCCTGCTGGCCCCCTCCGCCCATTACCTAAGCAGGGAGTGTGGCCTGTCAGGGGGTGTACCAGTGCTCTCAGGGGGCACACAGGCACCCCCATGCACCCCCTATGCATCGCCACTGCATGCAAACACTATGACAGAAGTATGGCGAGAACCAGACCACCATTAAAGAGCAACACATGGGATTTGCAGAGAACCTAGGCACAGTCAAAGAGTGGCATTGAATCCAGCAACAAGACCTTGTTGAACTTCAGGGTAAGCTGTTGCCACAGAAGCAGAAGCAAAATGCAAGTCTGAGGAGCATGAAACACTGAAAAGAAAGCTGTGGGAGGCTGAAGCTGAGAACTGACAGCTCACAGTGTGAATTAAAGCCAGGGGAGACCTCCTGGAAGCAGGACAGTCAAAGGAGGCAGAAAGAAATGAAAATGTGCAGGCAGCTAATAGAGATGAGGTGAGACAGCTGCAACAAAGACTTCAAGAAAAAGCAGACCTAGTCTCCTTGCTGGAAAAATAAGCCAGGAAACTAACAGCTGAACACCAAAAGACCCAGAACAATGAACTTTGTGTAGAGAACCAGAAAACAAGGGCAGTCCTGACTATAGCTG